TTGAGAAAGGTTGTGGAAGAAAACGGAGGCCAATATCAAGGGAGAGGCACAAAAACTGGAACCAGATTGTGCTTACTCCTATTGAAGACAGTGCCATCGACAAGGTAGCTCAAGGGTATGCAAAGAAGTATGGAAGCCCTGGCTTTATCTGAGCCGGAAATTTTACGCTTAAAATTATCCACCGCTGGTATGCTTGTCGTTTCTTGAAACCTCATAGTCAACTATTAATACCAAAAGGTTCTTTTCAGTTTTAATCACCATTCAAGCTACTTTGCATTGCTATTGAATGCAGAGGTTATCTGCAAGCATATTCAACATATTTAGTAAATCCGCCAAGCCAGTTAGTTAACTAAACTGTTTGTATAAGGTTAGCTATAACAATCATTATTTGTTTATCCGACTCCGAGTTTGCGATGTAGTTAGTGGTCAGTTAGAGATTCTCCTGTAAATATAGTAGGGACGAAGCCATCAATCTCAGTCAAACTTCATGACGAAATGCGCAATCCAATCAAAGTGATAACCCGCGGCCACACTCCCTTGAAGCTTCGATCAAGCGTACGGCGAGTTCGCGCCTGTCCCCATCCATGGTCGACTCTCTTTTTTCTCATTTGGCCCTTTCCGCTGCGGTATTCCATACCAGAGCCACTTCTATCGGTGGAGGAGATTGAAAAGCATCCTGATGTTCTTAATGAACGACATTCTGGCATCCGAAAACTCTACTGTATTCCAATCTTCCGCGTCCGTGATACGCCGTTACGCTCATTATATCGGCTTGTTGAAGATGTATGTGCCTCCGACTTCATCATGATGGGCTATGAGTGTACATACTTCTTCTTCCACTGCGAGTCTCGATGGTCGTTGGCTTGCATCCCGGATCCTGAAGACAAAGACCCGGTTCGGTATGCGCTTCTTGCCAGCATGGTAGAGGCATTAGTCGATGCATTTAACTGGAGACTCGAGCTTGGAATTCGCAGAGATAAATCGTTGGACAGATCTGAACAGCGCAGCACCAATTTCACACGAGAAGAAGCGCCGTCGTGGACTTTAAAAGTTGGCCCTGTCGAGAAGCCCCTGACGTTTCGTGAGCCTGGTTCCAGTTACATAACACCGGAGCAGCATTTCCTGAAGAGAAACGTTAGAATGTCGAATGGATATTTGTACACAGTATAGTGCTAGAAATTCGAAGCATGACAGGTTAAATATAATAGGAATAAGAGGACTACAAGGGGTTAGTGTTAACGTAAATTCAAGATAGTTAACAAGCCATTTAGGGTAACGGCCAGGTAGAAAATGCATCGTCATTCTCAATCTTTTCTTTCTGTAAACCCACCGATTCTCATTCCACTAAAGAGGATGTCTAGAAAATATGGAGGTAAGGTGTTAATAACAACAACCGAACAATTAAAGCGGGGTTAGAACACAAAAATATGACCCCTAGGGCCAAAACAAGGTATGACAGCCTATTAAAAGAATGTTTTCGAATTTCTCCGCAACACTAGCCTTTAACACTATAAAACAAATACCCAGCTAGTATATATATAATGACCAAAGGAGAATATGTCTTGGAGATATAAACTGGAAGGCAAGACAGTTAACATTGACATGAGGCAGCTCCAATAATTCAAAAGAAATTAACATTGAAACAAACGGTATGTTGAAGAACAGAGCCATGCATCTAAGCACAATTAATCAGCTTAAAATGCCATATGGACATTGCTAGCTTCAGTTACAATCAAGGAGCGCCAATGACGCTGATTGCTTGGGTTGCTGCTTCTTCAAAAATCTGAGCATCGGGTTCGGTATCAACGGTAATGTACATGGTAGTAATAACAGCATGGGTTCCGCCATTTTTTTCACGCCATTGCTTAATAGTAGTAGGGATTTTACCCGCATTGGGCTGAAGTTGATACTTGTGACATTG